AAAAAAAAAAAAAGAATCACATTCTGGGCTGGGGGCATGGCTCATGCCTGTAATCTCAGTACTCTGGGAGGCCAAGGCAAGAGGATCATTTGAGCCTAGGAGTTTGAGACCAGCCTAGCAACATAGTGAGACCTCATCTCTACAAAAAAATTTAGCTGGATGTGGTGGCTTGTGCCTGTAGTCCCAGCTACTCGGGATGCTGAGCCAGAAGGATTAACTAAGCCCAGGAGGTTGAGGCTGCAGTGAGCTGTGATTGTGTCACTGTACTTCAACCGGGGTGACAGAGTGAGACCCCCACTCAGAAAAAAAATGTCACATTCTGGCGATAGAATGATTGGTCTCACTTGCGTCAAGGATATACTTCTTGAGAGAGGGAATGGGTGGAGATTGGTAGGTCCTTTAAAACCAAAGGGTAAGTTGTTCCCGAAGGAAAACTAGGGAAAGTGGATGTGACAATATCAAAAATCCTAAATAGACTTCTACTACAGGTATTTTGTGACAATTGATAAAAGCCTTGTTGCTGTCTTCTTAGTCTAGGTTGAGATATAGGAGCGAATATTTTGAGGAAGTTCTGATTACAATTTATATCCTGTCTTGTTGCTGTTTTATGTCTAGTGCTTAACATAGTAACTACCACATTATAGGCACAGAGTACTTAATTGTTGAATGAGTAAACAAATTAATTCTAATGAATGAGCTAATGAAATATAAGTTGGTTTGCTACTATAAGGTTTTAGTCAACTTTCTAACCAGTAACAGCAAGGACATAAGGACAGTCTGAGAAAGGATTGGGTCTTCATCTCATACTTTGACATACAAGAATATTAAGAGAATTCATGTACTGTTTTTCTTTTTTTGGGTTGGAGTCTTACTCTGTCACCCAGGCTGGAGTGCAGTGGCACACTCAAGGCCATAGCAGCCTCGACCTGCTGGGCTCAGGTGATCCTTCTGCCTCTGCTTCCAAGTAGCTGGAATTATAGGTACGTGCTGCCATGCCTGGCTAATTTTTCTTGATTTATTGTAGAGATGAAGTCTCGCCAAGTTGCCCAGGCTGGTCTTGAACCCATGGGCTCAGGCAGTTCTCTCACCTTGGCCTCCCAAAGTGCTGGAATTATAGGTGTGAGCCACTGCGCCCAGCCTTCATGTACTTTTTTAGAAGGGTTAATTTATTTTACTTTCTGCAACTGGAATTTGCCCGTCTCCCATTCGTTGAACTTGATTATACTCTGATTTTGTCTTATTAGGCTCACATACTAACTGGGTCACCCCTGAGTGCTCTGTGGATGAAAAACCACTATGGCCTTTTCTGCCATTGCTCTTCCTGGAGAGGGGCTATCTCTGATGTTTGTTTGTTTTATTGTCTTTCTGTCTGCCCTTAGGTTCACCCAAGCAGCACTGACTACAACCTAATGTGGACAGGTTCTCACCTGAAACCCTTCTTACTTCGCACCCTCTCTGAAGTACAAAAGGTTAATCACTTTCCCAGGTAATGCTCTTGTAGCTGCTTTGCTCCATTTAAAGGTCCCTGACATTGGGTTATGTAGCCAGCAGAGATAATGTCCTTAAAAAAAGAAGTAGTTTGTGATATAGGGCAGCCAGGCAGAAGTCTTCACATCAAACTGAGGTGCTGTTGTCCCGAGCATATATGAACACTTTCCAAAGGCCATATAGACATGGACGGTTTTAAAGGAGACCGTTTCTGGTTCTGTTTTCTAAAATTGAGTTTCTAGTGAGCACCTCATGGGGATGGGTTCTCCTTTCTCACCTCCCCCTTCACAGTTGCCGTTTTTCACTTTTATTAAGGCCCACCTGGACTCATAACATGATATGTTGTCTTTGGGTGTAGAAATTTTCAGGTTTCCAAAGAAAGCTATAAAATATTGGTGTCTAATTGAGTCCTGCTAACAGCATGCTGATGGTTTATATTTCTTTGCTTTTAAAAGAATTGAAGGACAACATAATCTATGTTATCAGCCGGTAGATCATTAACAATCATTTTTAATGACAGATCATTTTGTGATTTTTTTTGAGTTAGAGTCTCACTCTGTCACCCAGACTGGAGTGCAGTGGCTACTCCCGGCCACTGCAGCCTCAACCTGCTGGGCTCCAGCGATCCTTCCGCCTCAGCCTTCCAGTAGCTGGAAATACAGGTGTGTGCTACCATGCCTGGCTAATTTTTTGATTTATTGTGGAGATGAGGTCTCGCCAAGTTGCCCAGGCGGGTCTTGAATCCGCAGGCTCAAGCAATCCACTCACCTCAGCCTCCCAAAGCACGGGATTACAGGCTGAGCCACCGAGCCCAGCTCATTTTGTGATTTTTGATGTCTAATTAGGAAGGAGTTCATTGCTATAGAAAATTCTTTCCAGTTGAATTTGAATTTGTTGGTGGCACCTAGAGGGGCTATTATAGTCTAGTGGTTAGAAGCATAGGTTCTGAAGTAACTCTGGGCCCAGACTCCAGTCCTCCTGAGTGACCTTGGGCAAGTGACCTTTCTGGATGTCAGTTTCCTCATTGGTAAAAAGAAGGTGCTAATGGCACATACTTCATAGATCTGATGTGAGAATTTATTATACTATATCAAAGTGGGAACTGCTTAGAACAGTGCCTGCCATGTAGTATACTCTATAGTTATTTTGCTGTTAGTCATGAAACTAAGTTTCTTAGGGTATACAGCTATGACAAAGAAAATAGGAAAAAGATTGAGGCTGCATTCAGCCATGGAGAAATACATGATGCATGGAGAAAAAGGGAAACTCATCTCATCTAATGAAGAGATGCCGATCCATTAAAAAAGTGTTTATGTGGACAGGGGTTACATTTTAGTTTATTTCTAGGTCTTATACCCCAGTTACTCAGTCATACTAACGTTACCTCACATGCTATTCTCCTTATTTTCACGAAATGCTGGCCATTTCTTGATTTTTCTTTTCTTTTTTTTTTTGAGTTGGAGTCTCACTCAGTCGCTCAGACTGGAGTGCAGTGGCCGGGAGCGGCCACTGCAGCCTCGACCTGCTGGGCTCTGGCGATCCTTCCACGTGGACTCAGCCTTCCAGGTAGCCAGAATTACAGGCACGCGCTACCATGCCCGGCTGATTTTTTGATTTATTGTAGAGATGAGGTCTCACTGCCCAGGCGGGTCTTGAACCCGCGGGCTCAGGCAATCCACTCACCTTAGCCTCCCAAAGGCGCGGGATTACAGGCTGAGCCACCGAGCCTGGCTTTGATTTTTCAATTCTATTGTCTTGAGCCCAGTCAATGTGTGTAAAGACTGGCCTACATTGTCTCTATTGCCAAATGATTTCTTCATATTGTTGGATAATTGTGTGTTTTGAGTCTTTGAAACAAGTCCCAGTTTTATGTTATGTCTGAACTCCATTGGCAGAAAATAATGTCAACCTTATTTTCTTCCTTAATGCCTATAAGATACGGATTTGGTTTTCTAAATGTGTGACTGAATGCTTGAAGTAAATCAAATGCATCCATTTTAAGTGGGCATTGAAACAGTCTTTCTTTTCTGTTTTGGGTCAGAGTCTCACCCTGTCGCCCAACCTGGAGTGCAGTGGCATGCTCACGGCCACTGCAGCATTGACCTGCAGGCTCAGGTGATTCTTCCACCTCAGCCTTCCAAGTAACTGGAACTACAGGCGTGCGCTACCATGCCCGGCTTATTTTTTGATTTATTGTAGAGACGAGGTCTCACCAAGTTGCCCAGGCTGGTGGTCTTGAACCCCTGAGCTCAGACAATTCTGTTGCCTCGGCCTCTCAAAGTACTGGGATTACAGACTTGAGCCACCGTGCCCAGCCTGAAATAGTCTTTAAAATAGCCCACACTGGAGTCTACATTCCTAATTCGTGTTCTTAATATATTGTTTATTTCATAGTTTTTGAATTATTTCCATAGGTGTATAGAAGTTCCATCTCAATTTAGACTCAGTCAGTAACAACAAATTACAACCTACATCTTCCTTGACTACTCTTTGAATGTGCTATCCTTGTAAGTTTGAGAATAAGCCTTTTTCTCATTGCAGCGTACTTGGTGGCTTCTGCTGCTGTATCCTTCCTGCTTCAATCTAAAGACTTCTAACTCACATGCAGGAGAAATTTAAGCACTCTAACATTTTCAGTAATACTGTGAACTCTTTTAACTTTTGAGTCGGGTCTTACTCTGTCACCTAGCCTTAGGGTGCAATGGTGCGAACACAGCTCACTACAACCTTGAACTCTTGGCTCAAGCAATGACGCATCACTGTGCCCAGCTAATTTTAAAAATTTTTTTTTGTAAAGTTGGGGTTTTACTGTTGCCCACGCTAGTCTCAAACTCCTGGGCTCAAGCAGTCCTCCTGTCTTGTCTTTTTAACGTACTGGTATCACAGGCTGAGCCACCATGCCTGGCCTCCTTGAATTTTTAATTTTAAGTAATTTCAGAATTAAGGAAAGTTTTGGAAATTAATATATAGAGTTCTTATGTATCCTTTACCCAGTTTTCCTAATGTTACTAATCTGGTATAACTGTAGTGTAATTATTTAAACTAAGAAATGAACATTGAATAACACCATTAACTAAACTACAGGCTTTATTTTTCTTTTGCTAGTTTTTCTAATAATGTCCTTTTTCTGTTCTAGGATGCAATCCAGGGTCCCACATTGCATTTAGTTGTCATGTCTACTTAAGTCTCCTTCGATCTGTCCTTTAATTTTTTTTTTTGTCTTCCAATAAAATTTCTATTTTTATGTTTAATGCATTTAAATTGCAATTTATAATATTTATGGTATTTTGAAGAATTATATACTATAATACTTGCGGTGATAATAGTTCTATATACACATATTAACAGTTACAGTCTTATGATCACAGGAAATGAAAAAATATTATATCAATTCCTATGAAATATGATATTAAAGACAAACATTAAATATGGTCTGTTAGGCTGAGCTGTTCTTGGAGGGAAATGGTATGGAAGAAATTAAAACAAGGATGATTGGGGCTAATGTCTGGTTGGGGCCTGAGAGGGCTTCTGATGTACTGGGGATTTTCTCTGTGTAGGCTGAGCAGTGGTCTCATGGGTGGGTTCACTTTGTAAAAGTCTGTTATGCTCTGCACTTGTAATTTGGCTACTTTTCTCTATATATGTTAACTTCAGTAAAAAGTATATTTAAAGAAGTGAAAATTTTGCTGACAAAAAAGAACTTTTTCTTTTCTTTTTTTTTTTTGTGTTGGAGTCTCACTCTGTACAGTAGCATGCTCACGGCCACCCCAGCATTGACCTGCTGGGCTCAGGCAATCCTTCTGCCTCAGCTTTCCAAGTAGCCAGAGCTACAGGCACACACTACCATACCCGGCTAATTTTTTGATTTATTGTGGAGATGAGATCTTGCCAAGTTGCCCAGGCTGTTTTGGAGCTTGTGGACTTAGGCAGTCCTCTTGCCTCAGCCTCCCAAAGTGCTGGGATTACAGGCTTAAGCCACTGCACCTGGCCTGAGCTTTTTCTTTAAGAACATTTTAAACATGGTATGGGAGTTATTGGAATCCTGTTGTTATTTAGATTCCCGTGAATATACCTTAATAGTATGGTGTTACAATTTTATTTTAAGATATTTACCATTCATCAGATTATATGGAAAAATTTAAAATTTATGATGAAAAATCTTAAGATGCCAACTTATCCATGCAAGAGGATATATGGTTTTCCAAAATTCATGTAGCTAATACCAAGCAAAAAAATTTGAAGACCATTGATGCTGGGCATCTGTAGGAGAGGAAGTTCTTTTCCTTACCCTCAGGTTCTATGTTTCTGATTCCTTAATGATAAGAATTATCTGGGGTTCTTTTAAAAATGTACCTTCTCAGGTCCCATTGCACGCTGAGGGAAATCACTATCTCCAGAGAAGGTGTAAATGTAAGAAGCACCTTCTAGGTGCTTCACCTTTCTTAATAAGTGTACAGCTAGAAAGCTCTATTTGTAAAAAGCAGAGAGGTGATTTGTAACAGGGAAGTTTGGAGATGACTTCTATAGATTAAATCAGTGGTGTAGTGTGGGCCCTGTGTCACCTGTGGTGCTTGTTTAAAATGCAGAATCTTGGACTTTATCCCAGAATTTTGAGCAGTGGGGCCCAGGAACATGCATTTTTAAGAAGCTCTCTAGAGGATTTTTTTTTAAAGAAGCTCTTTAGAGTACCTCTGCTCTAGATTTCTGAAGAGGGTAGTTGGTAAGAAAGAAGTGCTTATGATACCTAGATATGACAAAGCAATCTTTGAAATCATAGCAAAAACTTTGAACTGAGGAACAGATGGAGTAAGTGTTCAATGACTACCACAAAGATTCTTAGATGGTTTTTAAGCAGTGGAACAAATCACAGGCTTCACAGTTGAAGCTAACTGAAGTGCCTTTTGGAAGTACTTTACACAAGAATATACCAAGAACATAACCCTGATATAGGTGGCAACTGTTACCCTGATTTTGCATGATCATTTCCTTGCTTTTCTTTTTAATTTTACCTCTTCTGTACCCATCTCTTGATGATGTAGTTACATTCTCAGTGAGGTTCCTCATCTGGACTTTAATAGGTCATTCCAGTCTAAACTTGAGGTCTGTCTTGGGCTCCAGGGGTATATTAGACCCTTGGTACTGGTGATGATATATGTTCCATATAGTTATATGAGACATTGGGCAGTTATTGCTATGGCATTCGGTCTGTAAATATGGATTTAGGTAGGCATGTGTTTGATTTTCCTGGACAGTCCTTTTTTCAAATATACCTAGCCTTCTTCCCAGAAAACCACATTAATAAAACTTCTCAGAAATTCTGGTATTTTAATATTCAAACTTTCTCAATTTGCGTCCCTACTTGAATTTAAGCTAGATTGTTTTTGTCAGGCTATGTTTCTCAGAAAGTCTCATCTGTGGATACCTACAGAATAAACATGTCCAGAATACTTTGGCTTTGGAACTTGTTAGTTGGTGTACTGGTATTTTTCATGATCTAGATCATTTTATACTATTAGAGAATTGTGAATTCAATTAAAGTAATATACATGGTGTTCCTAAAATATTTTATAAGAATTTATAGTAGTGATAGGCACAGACTCTGTTGGAGCTTTATGAAGCTAGAGTTTTTCACATATTTAGTTTTTAGAACGTAAAATATTGAGTATATTTATCAAAAGCCAAACAGTCTGCTTTATTTTTGAAATCTCTTTAAAAATAGATTTTAGCTGGGCTTGGTGGCTCAGCCTGTAATCCTGCGCCTTTGGGAGGCTGAGGTGAGTGGATTGCCTGAGCCCGCGGGTTCGAGACCTGCCTGGGCAGTGAGACCTCATCTCTACAATAAATCAAAAAAATCAGCCGGACGTGGTAGCACATGCCTGTAATTCCGGCTCCTCGGAAGGCTGAGGCGGAAGGATCGCCGGAGCCCAGCAGGCGAGGCTGCAGTGGCCGGGAGCGGCCACTGCACTCCAGTCTGGGTGACTGAGTGAGACTCCAACTCAAAAAAAAAAAAAAAAAAAAAAAAAGATTTTATACTTGCATATGAATTTTAAAAAACCCATTTGGAATAAGTGCCATAGATCTAAACATAAAACATAAACTGTAAAACTTGCAGAAGAAAACACAGGAGAAGATCTCTGTGACCTTGGGTTAGGCAGAGATTTTTAGATACAACAATAAAAAAACACAACACATAAAAGAAAAAATATGGATAAATTTGATTTCATCAAAATTAAAAACGTCTGTTCTTTGAAAGACACCGCTAAGAAAGTGAAAAAGCAAGCCATGGACTGGCAAAAATATATGCAAAACACATATCTGATAAAGAATTTGTATCCAGAATATACAGTGAACTCTCAAAACTCAATAATAAGAAAATAAACAACCCTATGTTTCAAAATTGGTGAAATATATGAATGGAAACTTCACCAAAGAAGACATAGGAATGGCAAATAAGCACACGAAGAGATGTTCAATGTCATCAGTAATTAGTGGAATACAAATTAAAACCACATGAGGTACCAGTATATATACCTGTTATACGGTTAAAAACAAGAACAACAGGCAGCACCAAGTGCTGGCCAGGATGCACAGCAGCAGAACATTAATGTGTTGCTGGTAGAAATGCAAAATGGTCCAATTACTTGAATAACTATTGGTGTGAAATATAGATCTGGTCTTCCTCTCATTTCCTGACTTGAATCTCCTAAAATCCTTAAGATTTCCAAAGTGATCAGTTGCGCTGATTACCTAACTGGTGGCCGACAGTCCCTAGGTAGTTTCAGGATGGGGACTGGTCACAGGAAAGACCAAGGTGTGATAGAGGGTTAGGACTTCAAGCCTACCCCCCAACCTCCAGGGAGAGGAAAGGAACTAAATGTTAAGCTGATCACCAGTGGCCAGTGATTTAATCTATTGTGCCTACATAAAGAAGCATCCTTAAAAACCCAACAGGACTGGATTCGGAGAGCTTCTGAATAGGTGAACATGTGGAGCTTCCTAGAGATGATGAATCCTGGGAGGACTTGGAAGCTCTGCTCCTCTTCCATACCTCACTCTACTGTCTCTTCACCTGTACTCTTTGTAATATTCTTTATAATAAGCCAATAAACATAAATGTTTCTCTGAGTTCTTTGAGCTGTTCTAGCAAATAAGTTGAATCCAAGGAGGAAGTGATGGAAACACCTGTTTATAGGCAGTTATTCAGAAGCACAGTAAAACAACTTGGGCCTTACTATTGGCATTGGAAGTGTAATCCCAGCACTTTGGGAGGCCGAGGTGAGAGGATTGCCTGAACCTGTGGGTTTGAGACCTGCCCCGGCAACTTGGCGAGACCTTGTCTGTACAATAAATCAAAAAATTAGCTGGGCATGGTAGCGCATGCCTGTAGTTCTGGCTACTTGAAAGGCTGAGGCAGAAGGATCGCTGGAGCCCAGCAGGTCGATGCTGGGGTGGCCATGAGTGTGCCACTGCACTCTAGCCTGGGCAACAGAGTAAGACTCCAACTCAAAAAAAAAAAGGGAAATGTAAGGCTTGTGGGTGCTGACACTGTCTCCAGGTAGATAGTGTCAGAATTAAATTGAATTAGAGGACCCCAGCTGCAAGATTGCTTGCATGGTGTGTGGGGAAAATCCCACACACATCTGGTGTCAAAGTGTTGAGTAAATGTGTTGAATTGGGAGTAGAGAATAGGCAAAGCACTTTAGGTTTTCCTTTATCTCAAGTTATAGCAGGAGAGAATGAGCTTATTTTTCCAGTATCCTCAGAATAACCATCTTCTTATAAAGTTTGACATGTACTTATGTGGTAATTGGAAAATGTGTTGTGTCCACAAATTCTCTAACACTGCTTTCAAAAGGCTGAGCTTAATTTTTCTGTTCTTGAGTGCTGACTGGACTTAATGACTTACCTCTAACAGTGGAATGTGGTAGAAGTGACCGTGTTGCTTCTGAGACTAGGTTGTAGAAGACATTACAGCTTCTTTCTTGCTCCCTTTCTCAGATCACTGGATCTGGGAGAAGCTGGTTATGTCATGAAGGCACTCAGCCTTCTGAAAGGTTCACTTGGGGAGGAAACGAGGCCCCTGCTGACAAGCAGCCCTCTGTGAGTGAGCTATCTGGAAATCAGGTCCTCTGTCCCCAGTCATGCCTGATAACCACAGTGCTGGCCAACATCCTGACTGTAACCTCATGGGAGACCCTGTGACAGAACTACCCAGTTCTGTCACTCCCACATTCCTGGCCTCAGAAACTGTGAGATCATAAATGTTTATTGTTATTTTAAGCTGCCTTGTTTTGGGATAATTTATTATGTGGCAATCGATAACTAATACAGCTTACTAAACATCCCATTCCCAGAGAACTGAAGATTTAGGTTTACACAAAGACTTATGAAAACTTATGTTCATATAAAAACCTATATGCAAATGCATACAGCTACTGTATTCCTAATACTGGAAATCTCCAAATACTGGAAACAACCCAAATGTCCTTTAGCTGGTGAGTGGATTAACTGTGGTACACCTAGTTAGTGGATCACTACTCAGCAGATTTTCCATTTTGGACAGAATTCTGATACATGCAACAACAATGATGAATCTCAACTGTATCATGCTCAGTGGAAGGTGCTAGTCTCAAAGGATACTTATTCCATTTATTTGACTTTCTCGAAAATGCAAAATTGTAAGGAGAGAAAACAGATGAATGACTTTGGTTGGGAGGGTTGACTACAAAGGGACTTGAGGTAACTTTCTGGGTTGTTGGAACTGTTTTTTACCTTGATTGTGGTGATGTTACATCATTGTATGTGTTTGTCCAAACTCAGATTTGTACATTAAAAAAGACAAATTTTACTTTATATAGATTATATCTTAATGAATAAAGCTGACCAAAAATCCATTTGATGAAAATGGTCAACAAACCTTTTGGGCTGACAAAGTCACACATTTAGAATATAATACTGTCTTCAGTAACTGCTTTAACACTATGAACTCTGAACTCGTTACAGTGTGATAACACCAGAAAACCTGAGTCATAGGTTACTGAAATGGAAATACTTTTTTGGTGTCTAGGTCATATGAACTAACCCGGAAGGACCGACTTTACAAAAACATCATTCGAATGCAGCATACGCATGGGTTCAAGGCTTTTCACATCCTCCCTCAGACCTTCCTCCTGCCAGCAGAGTATGCGGAATTCTGTAGTAAGTGCTTGACCAGGAATGCCCCAATCCCCAGCAGCTGAATTTAGGGTAAATTTACCCCAGAGGCTGCCTTAAGTTGTCAAGCAGTGGGGCTTTTCAAATCCTTAGAAAATTGTGGTTCTCCAGTAAAAGAGTTTGCAGACATAACTTTAAAACTATGTTTTATTCTGATTGTGTATTTGTATGTTTGTTCTTAGTTAACTTGCCAGTATCATTTATGTAAGGACACACTGGTGTTATGTAAGTGTGCCCCTGTCTTATGTAATTTTGCTTGAATAACTCTTCTCACCATTGATGAGTATTAGTGCCTGTGTTAGGATTGTATTTCTGCACGTGAATTACACGTGCTTCTTTTTTCCCTTGCTGTCTTAACATTCTTGCAGCTTGATTTCTGGGTTTGGAGAGACCAGTTAGTCACATTCTCTTCTTTGAGTGTAGACTAATCAAAAAATACACTTGGGAGCCAACTAGGCATCTAAATGTCAGCTGTATTGCTGGTAAAGAGGCATGGCAATACACGACCTGGATCCAGGTCTAAAATGGGCTGCTTATTTCTTCTGCCTCATCATAAGCTTACCTACCCAGGCGCAGGCAGAAGCTGGGGCCAATTCAGACTTTCCTCTGCAGTGGCAGGGCCTGACTCATAGGCTTAGTGCACAGAAGAGGCGCAAGTACAGCGAAGGTGTGAGGCAGGGCTTTTGTGTGAGTGTAAATGGTAACAGTAGTAATAATAGCTGGCCCTTCTTGAGTGCGGACTTTCTTTTTTTTTTGAGTTGGAGTCTCACTCTGTCGCCCAGACTGGAGTGCAGTGGCCACTCCCAGCCACCGCAGCCTCTACCTGCTGGGTTCCGCGAACCTTCTGCCTCAGCCTTCCAAGTAGCTGGAACTATAGGCGCGCGCTATCACGCCCGGCTAATTTTTGATTTATTGTAGAGATGAGGCCTTGCCAAGTTGCCCAGGCGGGTATCGAACCCGCGGGCTCAGGCAATCCACTCACCTCAGCCTCCCAAAGCGCTGGGATTACAGGCTGGGCCACCAAGCCCGGCTGAGTGCTGACTTTCTACTAGGCACTCTTCAAAGTGGCACCTCCATTCTGTGCAGGTGAGGAGACTAAGGCACAGACTGCCTAAAAACGCTTTCTGTAAGTTATTCAACTTGCAAATGGTGGATGTAGGATTCAAATGGGCGATTTGACACTGGAGGCCACGCTCTTCGCCTCTGTGCTGTATTGCTAAAGACACCGGGTAGCTGTGTGAGACACTAGGAGTGCTGGTGAGAAAAGTCACTTCTCCAGTGGGCAGCATCAGGTGAGATACACAGAGAAGACAGAGAGGCAGACTGTTTTCCTCTCAAGAAGTCCAAGCAAGAAACGATTCCTGTTTTATGGGTAGAGGAAGTAGCGTGGATAGAGGAAGAGTTATACCTAGACCTCCTGACTTTGGGTTCTTCTAACCTATTGGGCTTGCCACTCTGACTGGGGCACCCAGTGGGGTATTTATCCTTTCGGAGAAGAGACTAACTAGTGGGACTGGATAGGCGTGAGTAGAAAGAATGGGAGAATAAACAATGATTACTAACTAGATGTGGAGAGGGAGGGAGGGGTGAAGGAAGCCTCCAAAGATTTGAGTCTGAGAAGCTGGAGGATCTTTAAGTCAGGAAATGTAACAGGAAAGTAAAAGCTGGAGCTGAGAAAGGGGAGAGGGAATGTTACATTTTGGACAAGGTGGTGGATTTGGGTGCCTACAGGGAGTAATATTTTGCAGGATGTTGTAAGAGCAGCTTTGAGTTCTGGCCAGGGATGTAGCTTCTGGAGGCTACGGGTAGGGAGATGGCTGTGGTTACTAAAGGCGAGAAAAAGAAAGAGGAGCACCATAAAGAATCAGGCAAGAGGGGGAGGTTGAAGAGGAGCAAGGGAGTGAGGCCTTAGGAGGCAGGAGAGGGTTAAATCACGAGTGCAGGTAGAAGGGTGAGTATTAGAAAGAGAAGTGAGCAGGGCCTCCCTAGAAGGAGGGAAGGAAGAAGACTGAGTGATGACTCAGGTGGTACTGTAGATGGAAAGGGAAGCTGGTAAGGAGGCTGTGTTACAAATTCCTAGCCTTCTTGGTGAAGAGGCTGAGGAGGTCTTGTGTCAGGAGTGAGGGCCTAGGGATGGGTTTGGGAGGCCGAAAGGGGCAGGAATGGCCTCTGGGGGACCTTTGAAGGAGAACTGGTAAGGATTGGGTGTGAGGGTGGCCAAAAGACACTGGGGATACCAGCCACGGTGATCTCATGCTTTTGCAGCTTTTTGTTTTAACAAGAGAAAACCTCTCATCTGTCTCTGGATAGACTTATCCCAGAAACCAGTCACTATCTTCAGAGATGTGAAAGCCTGGGTACTCCCCACAGTTTCCAGCAACTAGAGTGTAGGGATTGCAATATGTGGCACAGTCTTTTCTTGGCTCCTGGTGCCACCACTGCCGGTTATAGTATTTAGTGGAACTGAAGATCTGTGACCCTGAAGAACATGGCTAAGGATTTGTCACCAACTCCAGCCACTTCCTCCAAGTGGACACCTTTCTAAGCAGAGTGAAGAAGGAAGCAAGAAAGAAGATGGGGTGGCGCCAGTCTCAGGAAAGCAGAACTTTCGCCAGAATTGTGTTCTTATGGCCATGTCTAGTTGTTAGACTAAGAAAGGATTTTATGATGTGAATTTTCATGTCAATCAATTAATGACAGATGACTGTGTCTCAAAGCAATCAGTAAGTTTATATAATAATAATTTTAGAGTTGTATCTTAGCAAATCAAGCTTAATACCCTCATTTTCAAGATGAGACTAGATGATTTAGCAGATTACTTATGGGGGTCACAGACTTGAAATCCAGGGTTAGGACCTAGATCTTTCTGCTGCTGGTTCAGTGCTCTTTCCATTAGACCATGCTGCTGCTGTGGGAGTTGGAGGAGGGCACTGGAAAGAGCTGCGGAGCCAGGCTGCTGAGCTCACTGTCCTGCTTTTGCTTCTGATTTTTCTTGTTTCCCACCCACGGTTTTAGAACCTGTGAAAGAAATCAATCCTTGTTCTGAAATATCACAAACCAAGGAGAAAAGTCTGACAGAAAAGACAAGTCTTTGATGGAAATTTCAAGTGTGATAAGGGTGACAAACTTCTGCTGAGGCTGGTTCACAAAGGAGGATTGGCAACAGTTGCGTTTAGCTGGATTTTCCCTTTTTCTGAAAATGAGAGTTTTCTACGTTTGCTTGTCACTATAGAGGGTGCTGTCTCCAGACAGCTTTGCTCATTTCGTAGACATGTGCTTAGCATCCTATACTTCTTTCTAATCTGGTGTCTGTAAATAATTGCTCAGTGTCTGTTTTTTCTGCTAGTCCGATCTTCATAAGGGCAATGACTGTCTTTTCCACACTAGCAAACTGATTGACACAGATTAGATAGTAAGTTTAGAAAATTGTAAATTTTTTTGTTTTAATATTAGTAGCTTTTGTGTTCAGGCAACCCATTGTCTGCTTAGTATCTGGGGAAAATGGCAATGGAAAAAATATGTAAACTGTATTCACATATGTGTATATGTATTCAGTGATCTCACTTTATCGAGATTTATTTTTTGTTATATATAACTGTAAATTAATCTTCTATAGCAGAACTTTAAAATTATGTACGTTCTAGTTTTTGAAAGGTAATATGTTCCCATGGTACAAAAGAAATTATGGAATAGTAGCCAGTGAAAAGCCTCCTTTCTCCTCTTGTTCTGCAGTCATCCCATTCTCCTCCCCAGAGGTGACCAGTGGTATTCATTTTTTACATGTTCTTCTAGATATGTTCTTTGCATTTACTAGCAAATAGCTTGTGTGTGTATATGGATAGGTGGGAATATACAAAACATATTGCCCTGTGCTTTCCTTTTTTTCACTTAAGTCTGTCTCCGGGATCATTCCATATCAGTTCACTAATAATGTTCTTGTTCTGTGTACATACTTCATTCCAGTGTGTAAATTAGATGCCTCCAACTACAGCTGTAGAATCATGTAGTCCTCTTCCTATTTATCTGTGTCCCACAAGCTAGGAACCACTTTTAAATGGTTGGAAAAAAAGAGGAATATAATTTTTTGACATGTGCAAATCATATGAATTTTCATGTCCATGCATACAGTTTTTTGGAAGCAAAGTCACACCCCTTTATTCACATGCTGTCTATGGCTGCTTTCAAGCAACAGAGGCAGAGGTGGGTAGTATAGCAGAGATTACGTGGCCTGCAAAGCTGAAAATATTTATTTTCTGTCTTTTTACAAACACGTTTGCTTACCCATCATTTAGATGCAATATAGTATATTTAATTGGTACTTTGCTATTGGATTGGATAATCTTGTACATACAACATTTCACATGTGTGAATAGATCCAGATGATATTCTAGAAGCAGAATTGCTCATAGAGGTTTAAATTGTATGTGGCACATTCCTTTTTTTTTTTTCTTCTAGTTCTGTTAATTCTGCATGAAGGGAAAAGGCAGGGGAAGATGGGGGAGAGTGGACAAAGAAATCTTTTTTCCTTCCCGGTGAAGTGGTTTGTGCACTGACAAAGCCCAGTTCCTGTTGGGAGCCATGAAGAGGCTGTTTGGTTTGTGTTGGAGAGGAAAGAAGGGGAGGCAGTAGCTGCTGAGAAGTCAAGGCGAAGAGGAGGAAGGCCCAGCCTGTTCCTCCTGAAGACCTGGCTGGTATAGGCCCAGATGCAGATGCAGGGAAGTGTGTGTACTTATCTGGGGGAAGAGAGCTGGAGGATGAGCACACAGGGGGAAGTACTTGCCTCTTCATGACTTAAACCAGGGAAGCATGAACTATAGGGAACTCTATTCAGTTCATGCTGGTGTGTTCTAGATAGGTGCTAATGCCCTGATGTACAATAACCCAGGCATTTTGGAAAAAGGATGTCTGTGTGATCTGCTCAGAAACATTTGCATTTACTTAATTTTCTCACACTTATCTGTTCCTTCCCTGTCTCTTCTTTCACAGAACAAAAATACCAAGAAAAAAATGTCTCTAAATTTTCATCTTTTATTTTCCCCCTGCTTTGAAACAGTAATCCCTGCTGCCACCTGAGGTATTTCATCCAAAGTGGAAGGAGCAGAGTTGAGAGTAAGGGCCAGTTAACTTCTCTTTCCCATCTGGGATGTGAGACCCAGCAGTACTGACTTCTGTCCCTGCTTCCCCCAGACCACTACTTTTGGGAATCTTAGTGTCTGCTTTTTCTTCTGATGATCCAAAGGGATTTAAAGTGTAAAAGCAAACCTGGAAAAGGAACAGAAGTAGGTGGAACTCTTTACTCACCTGTAAATACTGTCCTTCCTCTTTGCTTGCACATTGCTTTATTAAGGTGATTTTTATAAGTTCTGAGGAATAACTTAAGGAAAAGTAACCGTGTTAGAAGATCTAGCTTTTGACTTATGTTGTCATTGTTTGTTGGAGGTCCTTTAGTTCATAGAGGTGAGAATTTCAAAGATTCATGAAGATTGTTTGTGACAGTAATAGACTAACATGCAGGTATTTGCCTTATTTTGTTTTCATATCTTTTCATTCCAGAAAGAGGAAAAATGGTGGAAGAAATAATTATGAGAGTAATTTTGCTGCCTTCTTTTCCTCTCCCTCCCTTCCTCCTTCTCTCCTTGTTTTTGTATTTAAGGCTAGTCCAAAAATATAGGTTATTTTAGCTCTTACCCTCCACTTAGAAATCTAAAAGATTTTTGGGTTCCTGGTATAGATAACCATTGCTGAAAGTTAAGATAACATACTCATTGTCCTTTCTTTCTTTTTGTTTCTCTTTTTTGTCTCCCAATATTTTGAACAGATTCATATTCAAAGGATCGGGGACCTTGGATAGTAAAACCAGTGGCCTCTTCTAGGGGGCGGGGTGTCTACCTGATCAACAATGTAAGTATGTGGCAGATGACAGAGCTCTTTCCTAATTGGTTCTTTCCTTCTCCACCCTTTGTCCAGGATTCTAATATGGTTCCATTTCATTAAGGGCAGGTGTACTTTTCTGAAATCTGCATTCAAAAGCAAGTTGAGGGTGGATATGAATGAGCTGTTGTCTATCTTACTGGCTGGAACCTCCTTGTGCACCAACAGTTAGTTACTCCAGGGCTGAAAGGCACTTGATCACATGTTGGGGTGTCTCTTCTGCTTTCAGCATATTGTCATGTGAATTTCTCAGCATTAGTTGACAGCACGTCCATTTGGTTTCTACTGTGAGCAGAACTGAGGGTTGTTGCTCTCATTGGCAGGGGAACTTGGATTTGTGTGGCATCCTCGTTGCTGCGGTGCTGCTGCTTCTCTTTCTTCTTTCTTTCCCTTTCTTCCTCTCTCCCTCTTTCTGCTCTTCTTCCCCACTTGCCAAAAGCATCATCTTCATTCCTTGCAAATTCTCATTAAAACTTGTCTAATTATAATACGTACACACCGTACATAAAATCCCTACTTGTTTCACTCCCTAGATTTACAACAGTCCTTAGTATCTTAACATAGTTGATTTATGTATCTTCTTTTCTCAGCTTTACATTATATATATTAATTCCCAGTTTGACATTTTGTACTCACATCAGGGCCTACCCTCCCTTTCACATTCTATCTCTAAGTTTGATTAGTTTTTATATTTTAAATGCTTAGAACATTTACATTCTCTTCAATAACTGTGATTCAGTTTCTCTGCTTCATCTAGGAGTTGAGTAAAAAATTTAAATTCAGTAGAAACGTACTTTACAGCATTGGGATTCTGAAATTTAACCAGTTATTTAAGTCTGGGCCTTTTTTTTTTTTTTTTAATTAAAGCCTCACTCTGTCACCTAGGCTGGAGTGCAGTGACATGATCATGAGTCACCATAGCCTAGACCTTCTGGGTTCAGGTGGGTCCTTCTGTCTCAGCCTCCCAAGAAGCAGGGACTACACATGTGTGCTACCACATCCAGTGAATTTTTTGATTTTTGTAGAGATGTGGTCTTGCTTTTTTGCCTAGGCTGGTCTCGAACTTCTGGGATGTGAGACCCAGCAGTGAGCTCAAGCAGTCCTCTCACCATGGCCTCCCAAAGTGTTGGGATTACAGGCATCAGTCACTGCGCCCAGCTAAGTCTGAACCTTTTTAAAAATTCTTCTTCCTGGACATTTGGTAGGGCCTTTCAGTCTGGAAACTTGTATTTTTCTTTAGTTCAGGGAATATTGTCCTCTTAATGTCTTCGTCTCTGCTTTTATAACTCTTTTTTTTGAGACGTTCTGGCTCTTTCCTTCATGTTAATGCCTCTCATTTTAAATTCTGTCTTTTTCCTATCTTTATCTTCTGGATCACCAGTTTGAGCTGTCCATCTTACTCTTCATTCATCTACTGTATCTTTATATCCTATTTTGTTTTTTAGAGTCTCTTATGTTTTGATTTGCCTTATTCTTATTTATAAATGACAGCCTGTTATTGCTTAGTAGATGCAGTTTGCATGCCTGCCTTTCTGAGGATACTAACTGAAAATTTTGTTGTTCAAAGTGTGTACTTTATTTTCCATGAATATTTATACTTATGCTTTTTTGTCACTATCTAGCTTTTTTTTAAAGCCTGAGTTACTTTGTGGTTTTAACCCCAGTATGATAACCATCCCCTCATCCTTAGAATTTCTTTTCCCTCATCACTTTGCCTTTTTGTGTGGTTTGTATAAAATGAGGACCTTGGGAGAGCAACATTTCCTGTAAAGGCTGTGAGCAGTGCCCACACCAGCAGGGCTAGGCAGATACAACCATTTTTAACAGTAGATATGCTGTGATTTCTGGGGCTAAGGTATAGTTGTGTGCACGTCTATAAGGTCATACTGATTCGCCATTAGAATAAGGATCATATAGGTTGACCTGGGTGAGGTGGGACTAGTCACAAGACTGTGAGAATTCCAGCAGGGAAGGCTGTATACCATTTTCATGGGTGAATCACCTAGCTAACGACTGTTTTGAAACTATGTTTTAAAAGACAAAGATCTGGGGTTTTTGGTGTTTTTTCTTTAACTTGTAAAGATTTAAGTCACTAATGTTAGTTCTTCTGGTTGAAAATGAAAGCAGCTGGCTATGGTGATACAGACAAGATAGCTGAGCTGCACCAGAATACTTAAGACTTTAAAATTAAATTCCGAGTTACCTTATAAAAATATATTTCAATATACTAACTTTGCAACAAAGATCTCAGATGTGGGATATTTAAAAATACATTTCTCTTGGATCAGCACCAAAAAAATATCAGTTTCTGTACAACCCATGTCAAGTTTTTAAGCATAGGCAAGTTAAAATGATTTCTGATAAAAACCACAAACTCAAAGAAATCTCTGAAGATATATCCAAACAACTTTCAAATACATTTTCATGTCAAGGTCAGGCAGTTCAGAAGACATTATAATGAGTATCACTGAATTTCTGTAGTAAGACATTTGATGTCAACTTCATATAATGGGAATATTTTACACCTCACACAAAGGAGGAACTGGTAATTAGAACCATAAGAAACTGACTAGCACTGTTAAGACTGAGGTGAAGATTTTGTTTGTACAGCCTTCGACAATTTCAAAGAGGTAGTGGTAGATACCTGTCCTCCTGGCAATGTCAAATGCAGTTTCTTGCAGGCTGTTTTTCATATCTGGTTAGACGTAACGGTTCATCAGGAGTTCTAGGGTGTCCTTGCTGTTCCTGCTCCCGGCGGCAAGTTGCAGGGGGGTCAGGAGGCCCTTCATTGAGACGTTGATATCTGTATCATGCTGAAGTAAGAAAGAAGCCTCTCTGGCATGATTCCACTTACAAGCGCTATGCAGGGGTGTGCAGCCATCCATGGTCACTGTATGGACATCCGCCTCTTGGGCAACCAACTCACAGACAACGTCTAAGTGTCCACTGTAGGCTGCTCAGTGAAGAGGGGTATACACATTCTCATGCCTGGTGTTCACATGAGTGGCCTTTTCAGAAAGTAGTCTACTCACTGTAGCAAGCTGATTTTTTTCAGCAGCCCACAGAAGCAGTTTGCTTGGGTTTTTTTCTATTTTTTTTTCCTTGGAATTGATACCACTCTTCATTTTTTTCATCTTGCTCCTTATCTTTATCAGAATTACCTACCCAGAGACTTTGAGAACCAGTGGGAATAAGATGTCCATGTGTTTCCAACAATTCATGTTGGTTAAAGTATTCAGAAGTGTCTGAGGAATTCTCTTGTTCTAGTTTTCCACCATCTTTTTCTTTGTCCATTTTTACTAGTATTCTAAATAAAAAGCATTTCAAATGCCAGGCTACAAATAGTCTTTCTAGAGATGAATTATGTCTGCTTTGCTTTATTCATCAAGATAAGCTCCAGCTCTTGGTCCGGGCGATTCGCATATGCTGAACCCAGGGATCTGGGCGACGAACAGGAAGGGAGGAGACACATGGGCCAGCACCAGCAGGGCCAGGGCGTGGGGTGGGCCGGGAGCCTCGCTAGGGCCTCCGTACAGCTAGGGATGGAGAAGCCACTTTGCTCTCCCTGGGATCACCACGCAGCCTGACCAGCAGGTCGCCGGCCCCTGTGGGCCCTGAAGCTCCCAGTCCGCGTGAGGCCACTGGGAACCGCCACTGGTGCAACTGAAATTTTTATAAAGTTCTCGAATTTTGCTGGGATTGTCTTTTTTTCTTGCTATTCTGATGATCCTTCAGTGATGGGCGATATTTGTGAACAAAACACGAGGCTGACTAACATTGGCAACTGACCTGGGTTTCTCCTACACTTGTGTAGGGCCTTCTCTAATCCCCTCTCCCTGGAAGAGGCTGACCGTGAACTTTGTGTCAGGGCACAGCATGTTGATACAAGCTTGGCTTTAGGTGGGTGTGGGTGAGGAACGTGACCCTCTGCCTTGCTGAAATAGTGAGCTTTCCTGTGAGTATGAGGAAGAGCTTCTCCATACTTTCTCTTTTTGTGTCTACTGGGGACTGAGTGACCTTGGGTTCCACTCTTCTCTATCTGGTTCCTGTGTCCACACACCTGCTGGTCTCACCATTCCAAGTGCTGTTTGTTAGTTACCTGATTCTTTTGCTTGGCCCGCCCCGGGCTTCATGTTTGTTCACTACGGCTTGAAACTTTGCAGCAGCCTCCTTGGGGAGATCACCTTTCACCTCATATGTTTTCTTTAGGATTTCCTTGAGCTTTTGGTCTGTTCTGGCTCTTTTTAATTTTTTTCTAGCCGTTATCATTCTTTTGAAAATACCCTTTCTGTCTTTCCAGTAGAACTCTAAAAGGGAGGGTAGAGGAAAGTAGATATGTCATATGTATGGCCAGTACCCTATCTTAAACTCCCCAGTTATCCTTTCACACTGAACTGTTTCCTATATGTGTAGAAACAAACTCTGAAGGGTCTTTCACAGTGGAAAATCATTAACTTCAGTCTGGACTCGAAACTGTGCAGTAAATGATGGCCAGACGTTTCATGCTGAATAATATAGGGTCAACTGCTACAGGCCCAAACTCAGGCTCTAAGTTCTGTTACCTGGCCTAGGTGGCTCTGGGGACCTTTTAACCTGAGTCTCATAAGAGGTAGGCCCCTGGCCATATGCCTTGGCTGTCTCTGCTCTTGCCTCTGCTCTGACCTTGGTACGAAGGCTCCTCTCCAGCAGCTTTTCCTTCAGCACCGTGCCAGGAGTTCCAGTGTTGTTTGAAGCTCATAGACAGCACTAGTTTTGGTTGGGGTTTTAACTGCCAAATGGAATTGCTATTGAAAGTCAGCTATGGTACAAGTTTGCTTTTTATTTTCTTAGACATGAGTCAAAAACAAATAGGATCCATTCCCAGTTCATCTGGGACTTTTTTTTTCTGGAATGCTCTTTTGTCTTAGTGATTTGTTATTTTAAAAGGTAGCATCATAAAGAAAGAAAGGCTAAACTTCTCTTGGTGGGGC